TTTCACCGTGACGGCGTTCAACTTCCTGTAGTCGATACAGAACCGAATACTACCGTCAGGCTTTCTGATCATGAGCACGGGACTAGCCCACGGGCTCGTTGAAGGCCTGATGAGTCCAAGGTCTAGATACTCTTGGATCTCAGACTCCATAACGTCCCCTTCGGCCTTCGAAACCCGGTACGGGGGCTGCTTAATCGGTGCATGCGCTCCAGTGTCAATGCTGAACCTCAGAAGTTCCGTCCTCCCTGGCTTCTTAGAGGTCTCGACGAACAAATCTCGCATGTCCTTCAGCATTTCAACGAAGAGTCTTCTTTGTTCTGTCCCTAACGATGAGTCTTGGAAGTCCACCTCAAAGTCATCGTCGTTTCCGCTCTTCATCGTCGCGGTCATTTCAGCCTCCTTCTTCCCGACCCGCGTTTCGGCGTTTCCACTAGAGGCGCTTAGCACCGCACTGATGTTGTCCGGCGTTCCTTCTCGCTTTAGTGCTTCCGCAGTGAAGGCCGACTCAGGCACAATGGTCACAGCGGCAAAGTAAGCTCCAGTCCCGACTTCCACCTCCTCCGTAGAAGCATTGCACACCTCGACCAGCACCGTTCCGTCCGTCACTGTGCATAGTGTCCTAGCGACTCTCAACGAATTGTCCGTTCCCGGAACGCCTTCGACTAGCACGACCGACTTGTCCTTCACAGCTCCTCGGACACGAGACCGAACGAGTGCTTGGCGACCTGGTTCTAGTCGTACCGACGACGAGATTGTGGCGGCGTACGTCTCTTCCACCCTCGCCACGCCTAAAGGGACCACGTCCCCCGTTTCCTTCAGCGTCATCGACTGTTCCTCGAGGTCTATTACCGCACGGAACGCCTTCAATGAATCCGTCCCCATGATCGCGTCCACGAACAAGTGATCGGTCACCACAAACGGAAGTGTCTTCTCCAGCGTTCCGAGTGTCACTGGAAGGTCAATTACTCCACGCACACGGATCGTGTGTCCCGACACGCTGTCCAGCGTTCCGCTGTAAGGCCGGAGCGACTCCGAATCACGCCCAAGACGCCTCAGCACCCTTCTGTCGACGAGACTCGCTATGGCGCCTGTGTCAGCCAGCATCTCCGACGGGCAGCAGTCGATGTAACCATCCGATAGGGCCTGCATACCCCCGACGCTACAGATGACTCGCTTGCCCTGGGGCACGACGTCATCGTCGCCCTCTCCGTTATCTCCTGCGTCGGCTTCGCGGAGTCCAGGCTCTCTCGGTCTCCTAGGGGCTCTGTCCGCCCTCACCCGATAAACTTCGGGCGCCTCTTCGACAACGGCGGCCACTCCCCCCTCGGTCGGCAACTGAAAGGTCGCTTTTTCCCGCCCTTTCGTCGCGAGGCTCGTCGCGCCCGAGTTTACTATTTCAGGACTGTCCCTCGCCCTCTCGCGCAACTTGTCCCTTATACCGCGAGCCTCAGCCTCAAAATAGCGACGAGCCCAACTCACAGCTCGATCTAGGAACGCCACATTTCGCGTTCCCCCCACTTCAATCAGGTATCCGCGTAGCAACCCTTCGTCCAGCCAAACTTCGTCCTCCTTGTCCCACAACAGTGGAACGCCGTCCTCTGCTTCGTCGTTCTCTAGGGCTCTCTGGCTTCCTTGATGAGGACGCTTCCCTTCGTTCCATTCCCGTTTGAGGAGCTCGTATACTCGGTTACGAATTATGGAACGCCACCGAAAAGGCAGCGTTCCCGCTCCCTTCTCGGGGTTCCCAGAGACCGAGGCTGCAGTTCCCTCGAGTCTCACACACACGTTCTGCATAAACTCGCGCCCTTCTTCGTCTCTAGTAAGCACCTCAGCACCCGTACTCTCGTCCTTGTCGCTTGCCACTGCATTTACCATAGGTAGCGACGTTCCTTCGGACACTCCAACCTCCCGGAAATCTCGATTCGCGCGCTTCGCTTCAGTCGAGGTTTCTAACGCGTTGGCGTACCAAT